GCTGAACCCGAAATCCTAAAGTTAAACTTAAACCCTGAGCCACAAAACCTCAATCCCGAAACCTGAATCCGACACCCCATACCCCCCAAACCCCAAACTGGATGTTCTAGGCCATAAGCCATCGCAGCTGTGATTCGTACGAGGTCAAGGCTTGATCATATTCAGCTGCGTCGCAGTGCGGAATTCTGCAAGTCCTTCTTGCAAGGAGCTTCGGGCAAGAAAGCATTTCGGCTCATTCAGCATACTCACTTGCAAATTTTGAGGGTATTGCTCGCCAATCAGTCATGGTCTCAGATTTCGACTTTGAAACTGAAGCTCCGCTGTTCTGCAACGTGCTTCCAGCAGTCGTGTGCCACCTGGTATTTCTCGAACTAGATCATCCATATTACATGTTAATTCAGCTCAGTAGGCGTTTGTTTAGGCAATTTCTTACATGAAGGTCCTGTGTTCTCCAATAGTCTCCAATACACGACCATCTCTGCCTACATGGATGGCCCCCCACTGGAACACTTGGAAAAAAATTCCAAGAGCCCAATACACCCTATGTAAGGTATATTATGCACTTTCAATCATACTTGGAATTCCTACATGATTTAAAGTATATTCCTTAGTATTGGGCTCTTTGGGCCTTGTGCTCTTTTGCACCTAGCATCCCTAATCATTCAGAGTCTGCAGTAGTTGGCTTCGTCCAGGTCGTTCCACTGCGATGGTGGCTGTTGGTTTTCTTCCCGTGGTTCACCTGGGCGAGAAGCAGGCTGTTGGGTTTGGGGATTAGAGTTGAGGGTTTGGGGTTTCGGGCTTGGCATGTAGGGCTTGTAGGGTTTGGGGTTTTTTGCGGTTTAGGATGTATGGTTTGGGGTTTAGGGTTTAGATTCTGAAGAAGTGCTGGCTCTGACTCTTCCAGTGAGCATGCAGGTTTGCTTTCAGCAACCATCCGTTTTGCGAGAAACAGTGGCGAATTACTCTGGGTTGCTGCTACCAGAGGAATTCAACTGGTAGGTGTTGTTGTATGTAAACTAGCTGTTTCCTAACCCGTTCGCCCTCATCCTCAGCTTCAAGTGAGTGCATGAGTCACTGTTAGACAGTTGAACCCGCTTTCAGAAGTGGCCCCTGAACCTTTCAGCTCCCTAAATTCACAGCTCAAGAAGGGTTCCTGTGGCTTCCTGAACCCTCGGAGGTTTGGGTTTTGGGTTTAGGGTTTGGTTTGTGGTTTCGGGTATTCAGGCAAGCTTTTTTCAACATGCAACCTGCCGAGCGTCTCCGGAGGTGGGACTGAACCAACAACTGCCGCCGCACAGTTCTCGGCGCTCACGAGTGGCACGGACAGCGTTGGCTTACTTTGCTGGGCAGGCGCGATGCTACCTGCTTGCATCCTCACGTCCGAAAGAGTCATTTGCTGAATCATGAGGCCGAAACCCTAAACCCCAAACCTACACAAATATATATATATATAATATGATACATACATATATATATATATAGAGTTTTACATATACATATATATGTTTAAAGTCATGCAGGCTTTATACCATGAACACTAAGGTTCGAGCATTCTGTATTGCAGCCATGGTCAAGCCTGACACGAGGCGCTTGCCCCCCAACACCGAAACACCGCAAACAAGCCTGGACCTGGATGGAGAAATCCTGATCCCCATACCCTAAACACTGAGCCCGCAGCCCTCGACCTTGAACCTAACAATTCCTATACCCTACAACGTAAACCCTAAATTAAACTCTAAGCCCTAAGCCCTAACTCCTAAGAGGTGTTGCAAACAGGCCGGGCCTTCTTGACTTGAGGCTTCAGCCCCAGTGAAGCACCCTGCCGAACTCCAGGAGCAGGCCGCGCGCGTGATCTTCGGGACGCTCTCCGTGGCCGCGGGCCTGGCAACCATCAACGCACGGAGGCTTGGATGATTTGCCTGGGCTCGGGGCATGTGAGAATAGCTATGTGCACCATGCGCATTCTTGCCAGCTCAGGAAACCTGGAGGCCGAGGCACCTTTCTCCGTAGCCTCTTCCAAAAAACTTCGGTATGCAATGCAAGCAGCGCTGGCACGTTCCTCAAGGTTTGGCTGGCTCCTTGCCTGTGTAATTTTGCACGTGAGTGGTCACCGGTATAGAGTAAACCCTAAACCCTAAACCTGTACAGAGCGATTGTCATGCGCATGAGCACATGAGCGTTGCCTTAAGGTCGTTTTGGCGGCGAGCTTGGCCGCTGTGCCCTGCCTCACGTGGCATCGGGCGCTTTGGAGTGATTTGCATGAGGCCTGCCCTAGTGCAAGAGGCATGAGAGTTTCGAGCAGCAGCTTGATCATCAGCACAGGGCAGAGTGCAGCAACGCCACGCCACCTGTATCTGCAGTGCATATTCCTGAAGCGTCTTTGCCTGCGTGCATGGCTAGGCCTTGCGTGGTTTGCCAGTGCGGTCGACTGCGTTGGCTGCAACAGTGATGGTCACAGTGATGTTGATGAGGCAGGCCTGCTGATCCTTGACGCAACGGCTGTGTCCAAGACCATGAAAGCCAATGTAAGCAGTCTGACAAGTCAGGCTCAGGAACCGCACGCCTCAATGAACGACACTACAGAGCAAAACTTGTAGAGCTTCTTTCCTCTGCTCCATGCGGCATCTGGCCTACTGGCTCACGAGACTTCAGATGCACATTGCAGGGCAGTGCTGCGCTGGTGTTGAGTCATCGAAAGGAAAGTTTCCAAACTTTCTGGTGCAAGCGTGCAGCTGCCCTGTTGTTTTGTCAGGTCTTCGTGGATGAGTTGTTTTCGCAGCTTCATGAAGCGGTTAACATTGCCCAAGAGTGGGAAGAAGCTGCACAGAGCGACCGGCAAAGTCGCCAGCGTCTTGATGCTCTCCGTCGTCGCTTGTCCAGCTGCTATAGCTACTGGGTAAAGGGGAGTGATGCCTACAGCGTGGTACCACCGCAGCAGAGGGGCTCATGCTCTTGACTTGGTGTTACACGTAGCTCCCGTCTGTGATCTGAGGCTGTTGCTGCGCTGGGTGTCTTCTGTTCTTCACTTCCCTTCTTGATCTGGTCGTTTGCAGCTGCGTTTCCACAGGCTGCGACACTTGAGTACTTGACCTTATGTCGAAGCAGATGTGGCCGTGCGGTATGACGCGAGCAGGTCACTCGTGCTGCCCTTTTCAGCACCGTGTCGCTGAGCATGGCTGGCTTGGCCCTGGCTGGCTTGCCGAGGCCGCTGACTTTTGCCACCACCCGAATGTCAGCCATAGCCAGCACGACGGAAAGTTTTCTAGCCAGCGTGGCAAGTTCCCACTTGTTCTTGTATCTAAGCAAAGTACTTTGCAGTTCTGGTGAGATGCAGCGTGGCTGGGTACATGGATTTCTGGTACTCGTGTCGTTCTGAGTGGGTTCCAGGCGCATGCATGTCAGCTTCCGCAACCTCATGCAGCGGCTGGCGCTGTCCAAGATCCGGAAGAGGGTCGCCAGCGTCTTGATGCTCTCCGTCGTCGCTTGTCCAGCTTCGCCAGCTAGGGTAGCTACAGAGTCAGTGGGAAACCTGCGGGAGTGCAGACCTTTTTGGCGGGGGGGGCTTTGAAGGTACAGGTACAACGACTCCAAGCAGGGAGGGGAGGGGTCGGGTGGGTGGGGAAAAATGACTGGTTCTTTGCGGTTTTGGGCGTTGAACGGGCGAGGATGTTTTCTTCGGGTGGTTGTATTATAGCTCGTGCGCAGTCCAAACTCCAAACAGAAACTCCCGCCCCCCACGCTGGTGAGGAAACTGGCCTGCATAGAATCATGACTTTGCGTAGAGTGTAGAAGTACCAGTACAGCTTCGGATGTTTTTCCTTTCGCCGAACATCCAGGATCAGGACATCTATGCCCAGGGCTTGCAGAGATGTTTCAGAATTTGAATGCAGTATTGTTCGATTCCGCGTGTTGCCTTGGGCTCATGCCTGTGACCTGAGGCTGTTGCTGCGCTGGGTGTCTTCTGTTCCTCACTTCCCTTCTTGACCTGGTCGTTTGCAGCTGCGTTTCCACAGGCTGCGACACTTGAGTACTTGACCTTATGTCGAAGCAGATGTGGCCATGCGGTACGACGCGAGCAGGTCACTCGTGCTGCCCTCTTCAGTACCGTGTCGCTGAGCATGGCTGGCTTGGCCCTGGCTGGCTTGCCGAGGCCGCTGACTTTTGCCAAAGCACCCGAATGTCAGCCATAGCCAGCACGACGGGAAGTTTTCTAGCCAGCGTGGCAAGTTCCTGCTTGTTCTTGTGTCTAAGCAAAGTACTTCGCAGTTCTGGTGAGATGCAGCGTGGCTGGGTACATGGATTTCTGGTACTCGTGTCGTTCTGAGTGAGTTCCAGGCGCATGCATGTCAGCTTCCGCAACCTCATGCAGTGGCTGGCGCTGTCCAAGATCCGGAAGAGGCTGCCCAGGGCCACTGGCAGAGTTGCAACTGTCGCTCGTCCTCGCAGCGTCAGTGGCAAATTTGCAGGAGTGTGAAGAGCTGTAAGAGGCTGCATATAGCTGCAGCAGTCTCACTTCAGAACTAGCTTACCGATGCCTCATGCCACTGCAGCAAAGGGCTCCGGCTGTTGGGGACAAGTATCAGCTTACATGTCTGGGTGCTGAGGCAGTAGCTGCGCTTGGAGTCATCAGCTTCGTTGCATTCCGTGCAGAGCTCATCGCGGACCGGGGAAATGTGAGTATCCTGCATAGGATGTAGGTCAATGGTTGTTCCAACATGTTGGCATCAGAGAATTCATCATACGCTCCAGGAGCCCCGTTGGCTGGCGCTTTGTGCTGGGGCATGCCTGATTTTGGCCAAACTCTTCCTGTGGCCCCGGCGACACGCCCAAGCGACGGCAAGAGTACCAGCCTTACCAGCCTTTCCAAGGCTTGAGGCGAGGATTTCACTGGAAAGTCTTCGACTCCTGGAGCCTGCTTCAGAACACAGCTTGAGGAAGTGGTGGAGGAGTTTGATGGAAGCCAAAGCTCCTGGACGAGCCTGGCAAAACTGCTGTGCCAAATGGCGAAGGTCGGTTATTCCTGGGATTTTCTCTTGGAGAATCTGAGAGAGCAAAACCCGAACGTTTTCCCAGAAACTACGACGTGCAACTCGCTTTTCTTGTGGCTCCTATCCGTGCTCGACAAGGATGCGAAGCGAATCCTAGGGACGGAACACATGAAGCAGCATTCGGTGCCTCTCAGCACCGCATGGCCGGAGAAGCGGCGCTGCAGCGAGCTCCTCTGGAGCATGCCTGAGACCCCAGTGTTGATGAGTCTCAAGCTTAGTGATGGAGCCCGTGGCGTGTCCACGCTACTGAACGAAGTTTTTGGGACCGATTTTGAGCTCAGTGGATCTTCACATGGGGAGAACCTCCAGTTGCATGCCGGCTTGAATACCACAAATCCTGGCCGGGGCTTCGCTGTCGTCGACATGCACGGCAAAGCAACGGCAGTGCCGGAATCTATTTGCCTTGCATCCTCCTTTGTCATGTTCCACACGACGGCCAACGACCTGGAGAACGCCTGGCGTACCATTCGCTGTCTCATCGACAAGAAACCACGCTGGTTGGGTGTCTATGTCCTGGTGCAGAGTAATGGATGTGAGGCGGTTCATCAGGAAAGTGCTTCGGAGGGTGGGGCCTTGGTCTCAGTGGCCTCAGACTCGTCTTGCATTTCATGAGTGCCCAGAAGCTCCATGTGTCCAGGTCCCGGTGGGCATCTTTCACGTTCCAGAGAAGAAAAGCCTACAGAAGAAGTGCCGGCCGCGTTTGAAGAAAATGTTGTATAAGGACCTGAAGACCAGAATGCCTCAGAGCCCACGGCGCATTTCTCAGCAGCAGTTGCCAAAGAGCTGCTCCATGTTTGTAGAACCTTCGCCTGCATTCGGTTGCTGCAATGCGACAGTCACCAAGGTCACTGGACGCATTCTCTTATCTATCAGCCCTGTCCAACTTCATGGACGAGGAGGAGCCGGCGCTTTGGCAAGAGATGGGAAGCATCGCATCAAAATGTGCAGCAGCATGTGCTGACACCGCCATGAAGCGGGAAATCTTCCCGATGGCTTGTGCTTATGAAGAGCTGCAGCCTCAGAGCCTTCACCGAACAGCACTGTGACCGAAGTGTCGTAGTCGGAGACTCTGGCCTGATTGTTTGCCCAGGCATTGTGAGGTAGAGCGCAAGATGAAGGATGCTGAGAAGAAGGACGATCGCCACGAAGCCAACAAGCTCAAGCAAAGACGCCACGGCCCTAAACATCGCAGCAGAGTTCTTGCTCCTCAGCTAGAGTAAGTAGCTCCACGCTGCCTACGCTGGCCAAGGTGATGAACTTGCGACAGAGCGGTCGGACACATGGCCGAGCCTAGTGGCCAATCAGTTTGTGGGAGTGCTGGTGTCAGAGAACAGCGAGGTGCATCTTGAACAGCTGCCCGTCTATGATAGGCCATTTGTGTAAGCAGTGACAGATGCTAGCATGCACAGCAGTGTTTGCAGCTCAGGCTCCAGAGAATCATGCTTTGCGAGTTCCAGCAGAAAAACATGAGCCAGGTCCAAGCGCAGATGACAATGGCACTGCTCCACAGGGAAGTGATCCAGCTCATCTGCCACAGCAGGCAAATGTCACAGAACGAACGCGAACGTGTCCAAAAGGCATATGCAGAACTTATTTGGAAGGGGATGCCATTTGAGTTGCTCGATGGCGATAACCTTCACCTGCCCATGAGTTTCCTGAAGAAGATTTTCGAGGAACTGCAGCCTCACATGACGGGCAAACATTTCGAGGTCCTTAGCACCACTGGACCACAAAGTTCAGGCAAATCGACGTTGAACAATTGCTTCTATGGGAGTCGATTTGGGGTGTCAGAAGGCCGTTGCTCTCGTGGGGTCTTTGCTGAGTTCCACCGCACTGAAGACACCATTGCCTTAGTGCTTGACACGGAGGGTCTGCAATCTGCAGAGCGAGCTGACCCAGAATTCGACCGACTCATGATGCTGTTCACGCTTGCAGTTTCCAACCGCGTCGATATCGTTGTGAAAGGCATGATGACCGAGCCGCCCCCAGACTGCCATAGGAGTTCGGATTTCTTAAAGGCTCTGTCACCTAGAGACCCTTGGTAAGACCTCTCGCGGAACTCGGCCGTTGCAGGTTCAAGAAGCTCATTGAAGTCTGCGTTCGCGCATGGAAGCATTTGCAGGTCGCCAAGGTGCCCGAGCCGCGCATTAGCTGGATGATGAATCAGGTCGCGGACCAAAACCCCAAACATCATGAGGACTCGTTTAGCCAGATGTTCGAGGAGTTGAAACTGGTCTTCAAGCCTGAAGAAGAGGCAGCTGTGCGGAAGTTCCTGCGTTTAGATGAACTTCACAAACTCTCCTTGACGGTGTTTCCAAGTAGATTCAATGAGAAGGTCTTCGGCTTGCTCGGCGCAAAGGAGTGGACGCAGCTGTCAATCAACGAGAACTTTAGTCGTAAATGTGCAGAGGCCACGGCAACCAAACTCGCGGACATCAGCGCGAGAAAGCATGCAGCAGACCACATGGAGGGGCCCAAGCAATGGTTGGACATGGCGCAGGCCGTGTTCCACACCATAACCTCATATGCAGACTTGACCTACTACGAGGATATTCGCCACATTGAGCTAGAGAAGAAAATGCAAGAATGGATTTCTGACCAGATGCGTCAACTCTTTCGAGAGCCGAACATCCGGGACAAACTCGCAGAGCAGCGACAGGAAATTCAAGAAAGCCAGGACACGTGGACTTTTGAAGGACATCGGCGTCAACTATACGACTTGTTCCAGACGGCCAAGGGCAACGTGGCGGAACGGCTAGACAAGGAGCTGAAGTTGGCGAAAGCGAACGAAAATTTCCGTCAAAGGCTCTCCAAGAATCTCAATGCGGAGTTGGAGGCAGAGTTTGACCACTGGTGCTCTGAGGCAACACAGAAAGGATTGGAGAAGTCAGTGCGTCTTTGCCCCAGCTTCCCGGTAGATATTTCTTCGGAGCAACATTGAAGAAGCTAAATCAAGCAGCATGTACCAGGCAATCAGCTATCAAGGACAGTCCATGGAGAGCATAAGTTCGCTTGTGCCAAGGTCAAGCCATAGCACGGGGCGACGAGAGGTTGCTCACCGAAGTGCAGCACCTCCTCAGGAATCCAACTGAAGTGAGTTCGAGACAGGAGGCAGAGGATGCTTTTGAGCAAGTGTGGCAAAAGATTGTACAGGAGATGAAGAGCACCTTCAACCGTGAAGAGGGCAAATCGAAGCTGTTCAAGCGCATCTACAAGTTCTACCCTATTGCATACAAGCCAGAAGAGAGTGAAGTGAGGGCACGAAGTGAGAAGGATGACTTCACATGCAGCGATAAAGAGCTTTTCCTCCCATCAGCATACAACGATGCTGGTTTTCTCAGCAGTTTCAAAGCAGCAGCAGGCAATGTCACTGCGCTGATGAAGCCGTTATCCAAGCGAAAGGAGCCCTGGAACAACACAGTTCGTCGAGTACGAGACATGGTCGTTCAGAGGTGCTGTGAAGATGGCTTCCGCCCAAATCAGCTGAGCATGCATAAGATCTGCGATGTTGTCGATGATGAAGCCCAGAAACTGGACAGTCTGCTTCGGTCCGAATTTCAATGCGAGCTGTCTCGCAAAGGGCGGGGCTGCCTCATTGCATTGGCAATTGTCGAAACATGGCGCTCAGTTGAAGAGGCGGTGTGGAATGATGGGATGAGAGAGATCGACAAGTTCGAGGAACAGAAGGATGATCAGTGCAAGTTCTTTTGTTCCCAAGTCCTGCAGGATCGCACAGCTGATCAGCAACTGGCCAGGAGATGGGTTCAAGGCATCATCAAGAATCAGAAGGACCGGTGCGTTGATGATCTTTGCACGCACTTCGAGGAAGTGCTGCAAAAGGAGCAAGACAAGCTCACTCGGAAGGCAGTGCAGGACGAGCTCGACTCTTGCCCCGGCAGTGACGACCTCGACAAACAGGAGAAGTACATTCTCGATCCAATCTCTGCGATTCTTGCAGAATTCGAGACAAAGTGGGGCAGCATTGTGGAAGGAAAGGTGGACTATCAGCTGAGTCTGCGTCATCTTGGGTACTTGCGCGATGCGCTGGCGGAGCTCCGTGACAAGCACGGCCTGCAAGCCGAACACGCGAGCAGCAGCCAGCTGCTTGAAGTCACGGAAGACTTTGCGGTAACAGTGACGGACAGCCAACGTGCCAAGAATCAAGGTCTCGGTGCCTGGCTATTGGCCTATCTGACACAGGAGGTGCTGCTTCCATCAAAATGGGCCAGAGCTGACGATGGCACTCTTGAGACGTGCGACCAGACAGCATCAGCACAGATTGAGCTGCAGCAGAACCAGAACCGCTTGCCGTTAAAGGGCTCACCTGTCATGAGCGAAGACCTTCGAAAACAATTGCAGGCCAGCTTTAGACTGCATCCTAAAACCTATGATAGTCAGCTTCTGCTTGCACCTGGTGGACCTGCCACGGGTCCTACATCTGTGATCCGTCATCATCTTTTCTTAGCTGTAGAGCGCATAACCAGTGGGTGTATGACGTCACTTGGAGACACAGAGTGTCTTGGAAGCTTACTAACCTGATTGACTGACCTTGCCAGGCACAGCCGGCATTGGCCATCGACAACCTCAACACGTTTTTGAATGCGGCGATCGAAGAGCTGGAGAGCCACATGAAAGAGATTGAGGCCGAAGTGAGATCAGAAGTCGGTGGCAGGAAAGGAGAGCGTAAGAATGTCTTGAAGGATGAGTTGATCCCCTGCCCCGTGAAGTGCCCTTGCTGTGGACGATTGTGCAGCAACCCAACACCAGGCCACACGACGCATTCCTGCCATGGGCACTTGCCACGCGGATTCATAGGCAGGCATGTGCAGGATGGCAAGAAAACGGCTTCTACGATCATGTGCACAGAGATGAAGGACAGCAGCTTCGCCTGATGTATTCCTCAACGTTGACATGTCCATTCAGTTCCCGGGTCTAGTGACTAGTGCGTCCTGTCAGCATGATTGCCCCATCAGGACACCTCTGTCTTGGAGGATGAGAACGGTAAAGTCATGGAATGGCGCGAATACAAGGCCAACCATTCGAGTTGGAACTTTGGCGACAAGGACCCGGGCCGCACAGATTTCGAGGCGCGGGCCCTGCGAGCTTGGAGAAAGGTTGGCCCTCGATTTTGCAAAAGGTACGGAACCAGGTTCACGGAGCATGGCGAAGCTTCTTCTTCCGTGAATGGACCGCCGACCCACTGGCTGTTGATTCTCGACTCTAGTCCTTCCATGGTGGGAGAACCGTGGTTGGGCTTGAAGGAGGCAGTGAAAGCACTCCTGCTCAAGCTGGAAGGGGCGAAGCAAGACAGGTTTACCATCATCCAGTTCAGCGGCACTGCTTGGATCGAAAAGACTTACGAGGCAAATCCGATCGTCCAAGAAGCTTTTGAATCAGTTGCGCCTAGAGGCGGGTACACCTCCTTCCAAGCAGGCCTGGAATGCGCACGTGATGCAGTATTGAAACTGGCTGAACGGCACACAGGGCGCACAACAGCCGTCTTCATGTCTGATGGTTGTGATGGCCCCCGTGATGGCAGCAAGATGTCCACTTCGACCATGGATGACTTCCGTAAAGCTCTAGAGGAACCCTCCACCGAGTTCCAGTTCCACAGTATTGCATATGGTGGCCACGCTGACGAAGCTCAGCTCAAGATGATGGCGGATGTTATTGGAGGCAAGTTCTCGAAGTCAGAAGACGAAGTTGAGCTGAAAAGCGTCGCGACCTCGGGATTTTGCGTAAGACCCGCAGTCGAGGGAACAGGCGATCGTGTCATCAGAGTTTTGGCATTTGGAAAGTTCAATTCGAGGGCAAAAGAGACTGGCAGTGTCCTCACAGGTCGATCGCAGGGATTGGCGCACTTTGTCAAACCGCTGCCGCTATTTGTGCCTCAGGCTTTCGTGGAGTTGGCACCGCTAGCCGCAGCGTGAGAAGGCTCTGCCGGTGACGCGTAATTCAGGCTGAGTAGCAACTTCAAGGCATCCCTGGGCCTGAGATCCTGCAACAGCTTAGGCTTTAGGGCATAGGGTGTTGGAAAAAGATGCAATCATTTTGGCAGCCGTAGGCGGCAGATTCATATGTCGAGGCGGCCAAAGCTTTACAGGGTGTGGACATGTGCAGATAAGATTTGAGGTTGCAGTGCCTTTGGCCCAAGAGGCACGCGATGAGGACACCCATGTGGTGCGAAGCCCATCAAAAATCACGCTGGCGTCGTTGTTTTTGGCACTATTTGGGCTCATCCTGCGGATGTAAACCTTTTCTAGAATCTGCACCTGTTGGCAGACCTTGAGACTAGACCGCTCTACCCTCACTGTGTAATTATTGAAATCACCGATCGCGACAAAAAAGGCAACCAAGACCACTAGAATCACCAACGCTTCGTGTCGCGTGCCTCTGCAGTCCAGCATTCCTGGACCTCGTCCCACAGGTGCTCATGCATCAGACTCATGAATGGGAAGAGGTTGAATTTGCAGGGCCCTCCTGTAGATAGCACCTCTAGACCTGCAGTAGAATGCCAGCACGAGGAGCCGACCCTAGTGACAGACCCCAGGCTACAGGTACTTGTGGAGTGCTATGGGCAAGCCTGGCTCTGACGAGGTGCAGCAGTTTTTGAATTTAGACCCCATGTCGAGCAGTTGCGTGCACAGTTTGCGCGCAGCTTGCAACTGGAGCTTTGGAAGTGACCAGTGCCATGATGCAAAGGGGACGCCAGAGGCAGCATTGAGTGGAGTGCGTCACCGAAGTCTTGAGACTCAGCGCGGAAGGGCTCTTTGCATTCTTATACCATGGGTAGGCTACCCTCCTGGACTCAGCTTGGACTGAGCTATGGCATAGAGAAATGCCCGAGACCCTTCGAGGCTGATCTTTCCCGCCAGTGGCGACAGTTGTACAGGTCGTAGCAGATTTTGTAGGAGCTACGGATGCAGAGAGTCGCGATTCTGGCGTCGAAGCATTTATCAACAGTAGACAACATCCACATGCCTATATGCATCTTGTTGCCGCATTCAACGCTTAGACAAGGTGCAATTCGCAGCTGTGCCTGCCGCAGCATCAGGGAGTATTATGGCTAGAAACAAGTACTTCACAATTTTATTCTGACCGTTGACAGATGCACAGGGCATGTGCAACGACGTCGCACGAGATCAGATTCCGAGGGTAAATGACAGATGCCATCCTGCCTACACGTTGCATCGTAGCATCTTTAGCTGGCTGGCGCCTCGGCGTTGTTACTGCCACTATGCGTTGCTCGTACGAGAATCCATACTGGACGGCTTCCCCGAAAATCCAAATTCTAAATCATCGAATTATCGTACTGTTTTAAGACTATTCTATGGAGGGATCGATTCTCTATACTTACAAAGATATGCTATAAATATTATATATATTTGTTCTATATTAATTAGATTCTTATGAAAATTGTTGATGCACAATAGCCCTCCTAGATGCTTGGTTTCGTGAGCTGGTGCGTGTTATCATGTAAAGAACA